GATGCAAGAGCTGGGTTGCAACCTTAAAGCTGCCAGACAGTGGGAGGTCTTTTTCAGTCTTTGGCTAGCGTGGGCTATTTATGCTGCCTTTTCTCAAGTAATCTTTAAGTTTCCCCCTCGCCTGCGCTCAGAAACAACGAGTGGGACCCCAAAACCGTTACTGGTTGTAGGTACATATTGTCTATGCCAATTCTGTTTTATTGACTGTATGATTAATTCTTCTCCTATTCAGTTTAAAAATTGTGATGGCAAAAAGATTACACTTGGCCTGATCTAGCTGTGTAGCAACAGTATAGCTAATTAAGTTGTTTGGCAATCAAGTATTTCAGGCTATATGAATAAGGATGCTAAAAAGTAGTCTATTAATATTTAAGAGTTTTCAGTACAAAGTCATAAATAACTAAGCACTTCAAACCCACACTGTAAGGGAGTTTGACAGTACAAACTTTAATAGTTACCCAGTAATATTATTACCAAGATCTCTATCAGCTTTATAATCTGGTGACATCATTCAACACTGGGTGAAAACCAAAACCAGAACTTTAAATAAAGTTCTAGGCTTCCATGAGGGAGCTAATTAGTAATGAGACTGGGGAAGGAAAATTTAATAAGAGTTTATTGCTAATCAGCTTAAGAGTGGGCCAGGAAAGGATGAAGCAATAAAAAATTTCAGCTGGAGATATCTTACCTAACAGGGATACACACAGCTGAATCAGCCATTCTATTGCCAACAGAAATTCAGAAACTGATACCTTCAAAGAACTCAAACGAAATGCCAGTATAACGGTATTGCTTACATATGTCTAAGACATAACAACAGATTATGGATAAGGAGAAGTAAAGGTTGCCAAAAAGTAGTAAATGCTGGTGAGAATTGCACGGTGTTGTGAATGGCTGCAATACTTTGAGAAGATATGATTTAACCTATGATTTAACCATTGTGTGCATTGCTGATTATCTTAACTATTTATTTTATAGTCCAAAAGTTTAAAGGATGGTTTAGTTGACAGGTGTCATTGGCTGTGAGCCTTGATTCAGAGAAGGTGAAGTGCTGTAAATGCAGTAAATGTAAGATAAGGGAGTGCAGAGATATAGAAAACAATGACAGCTTTACGTCATGATCAAGAATGTCTTACAAGGTTTACTTACTCTTAAAGAATTTGAGGAAAATAGTGCATACCAGAGGTTAGTTAAACAAATCACTTATGAAGTAATGATGCATCTTGGGGATGACTTGTTAATATTTGTCTAGTGTCATTAATGACTAACATTAAAATATTTCACTTATACAGATCTAGAGTCTGTGTAAAATAGGAGTGCAGGGTTCTCGCTCAGAAAATGGGAATCAAGATAGCTGACAGGGGGAAGAGACTGTGCCATGGGTTAAAGAGAAATGAAGCCAATACCTTTCTTTAAAAATAAGGAGGAATAAATCAGACTTGTTTACTCACATATGAAGCTGTATAATAGTTAAACCATATGGCTACAACACATCCTAAACAGAATACTACCAATATGTAAAGATGAACTAGAAGTATATTTTAGAAGGGGTATCTTTGAACAACTATGACCCAGCAGTTCTGTAGAGGCAAAACAATTTAAGCTGCTTGACGCAGAGAACGTGATGAGCATCCTCTCATCTATAGGCAAGATGAGGTCTGTTCATTTCATTTTTCTGTACTCAGATCTTCAACTTAGCTTATCTTGACAGTTCTGGTAATAGATCAAAATTAGATAAAGTATGCCACTTGACTTTTTTTTTTTTTTTTTTAATTATTGTGATGTTTTCTTTCCTACTTCTATTGTAAATACTATGTAGCATTCTAAAACACCTGCTGCAGTAGTGGAAGTATTCAATCATAACACCAGTAACAGAAGGGGAAAGAAGTACATAGGGGGTTTTGCACAGCAGTGGGAAGAGAAATACTTAATAAAATGAGAAATATTCTGTAAAAATACAGTGAAAACCACATACAAAATTGGGTTCTAAAATTACCTTTAAACTTTTCAATTAACGATATTTCAAATTCACAACATCACCTTGAAACCTTTTGGGAATATTTATGGCTTGTTTGCTTCACATTTCAATTCAAAGACACTGCAGCAGAAATATTTAAAACTGTCTCTGAATACCCCAGCATTCAGTAGTTCATTTCCGTCATTGCAGGCTGACTTCTCTGATTCTCAGAGGGGGATAAGTTTTGGTTGATCCATTAACTCACTGGTTTTATTTTTTTTTATTTGCCTGTATATTGACGTTAACAATTGGCACATAACTACCAGTTTAAATTAAGCTTAAGAACAAAACAGCTGTGTGAAGGCTTTAGGTTTTCTAGCAGTTGCTTTAATTGTTTGCTCTTTTTTTTAAATAGGAATTGCAGTAACATGAAAGGGAATTCTTCCTAATGGACAACTATTGAGCACATTGGGACTCCTGTGAAAGGTTTTGAAAGCTTGAGCCACGTCGGACTGGAATCATGTTAAATAAGCCAGTGCTGGCAGAATCCCTGATCGTGTTCATCATCGTTCTCTTTGTGCACGCAGTGGTGTGGGACCGGTATTCCTGGTGCGCTGTCGCTCTCGCTGTCCAGGCTTTTTATGTCCAATTCAAATGGGACCGTCTGCTTCAGCTGGGTGGGGCTGTATTCCAGTTCCGTACAGCGGCGAACAGTGGCCTCCTGCCAGCTAGCATGGTCATCCCCTTGCTGGGGATCGTGATGAAGGAGAGGTGCAAGTCTGCTGGCATTGTGTACTTCGAACGTTTTGGCATAGTTGTAGCTTCTGCTGGCATGCTGGTTGCTCTCTTTCTGTCTGTAATAGCAGTTGGCATCACAAAACCTGTGCCAACCAACACTTGCATACTTACTGGTGTTGCTGGCAGCATAATTATCTATACCATGAAGCACTCTTTGACTGTTTCAGAAGTGATAGAGGTCCTAGAAGTGCTACTTATTTTTGTCTACCTCAGTATGATCTTGCTGTACTTGTTGCCTCGATGTTTTACTCCTGGAGAAGCATTGCTAGTTCTCGGAGGTATAAGTTTTGTTCTCAATCAGCTCATTAAACGCTCACTGAGTGTAACTGAGGGCAGAGGTGATCCCATAGACTTTTTCCTTCTGGTGGCAGTTGTTGGAGTTGTCCTTCTCGGGCTTTTTTTCACTGTGCTCTTCATTTTCATGGATTCGGGTACGTGGATCTCCTCCATGTTTTTCCACATGATGACAGCAGTGCTAGGTTTAGGTGTCATCATGCCTTGGCTGTACCGACTGATCCAGAGGAACCCTTTGTTCTGGCTACTCCAGTTTCTGTTTCAGACACAGACAAGAGTTTACCTTCTTGTATATTGGACCTTTTTGGCTGCTTCAGCATGTGGCGTAGTTTTATACCAGAATGCTAAAAGATCATCTGAATCTAAAAAACACCAGGCCTCGACTATAACCAGGAAATATTTCCATTTCATTGTTGTAGCTACTTATGTTCCTGGACTAATTTATGACCTCCAGCTTCTCTATGTTGCTGCAGTACTGTGTCTGGCAGTGTTTATCTTCTTAGAGTATATTCGGTACTTCAGGATCAAACCATTTGGCCAAACCCTTAGGTATTTGCTGTCTCTCTTCTTGGATGAAAGAGACAGTGGACCTCTAATCTTGACTCACATTTATCTCCTCCTTGGCATGTCTCTCCCAGTGTGGTTGTTCCCCAGATCTTGTGCTCCTAAAGGTACCTTGCCTGGGGCAGGAGCCCTGGTCCCCTACTCTGGGGTACTGGCAGTAGGGGTAGGAGACACTATTGCTTCTGTTTTTGGCAGTACAATGGGGGAAATCAAATGGCCAGGAACAAAGAAGACCTTTGAAGGAACAATGACAGCTATTTTTGCTCAGATCATTGCTGTGGCTCTTATTCTGATCTTTGACAGCAGTGTGCATCTGAACTCCAGCTATGCTTGGATTCTGGCATCTGTGAGCTTAGTTTCTCTTTTGGAAGCTTATACTACACAAATCGATAATCTGCTGTTGCCTCTCTACCTCCAGATAATGTTTATGGCATAGAAGCACTTCCAGGAACAGAGGTTTCTCACTTTCTAGAGAAAAGTGGTAATAGAATATACACTGTAATGAGAGCTCAAAGCTGGTCTAAACACTGCTTTTGGTACAGCAGATAAAATTGTGAAAAACAGAAATGAGAGACACATGCTTAAAATAAAGATTTTGGTTTAGTCTTGTTTTTTCCCCTTGTTTAAAACAGCATGAGTTGGTTTATGTTCTCACAGGAACACAAACATGACTGATAAAAATAGCATTTGTGTTTAATAATACAATTTAAGTTCCTTCTGGGTGCCCAGGAACAAAGGAAATAGAGGAAGAAGAGGTAAGTCAATTAGAGGAAAAAGAATAAATAAGCAAACCTCTCAGATGTTGCTACCTCTGTATTGTAGCAGAGCCAAAACATGTTTTGCTGTACTGAGTCCTGCCGTCTTGTATTACTGAATATGTAAACGCCTGGTTTCTGTACAAGCACCATTTAAAGCATGTTTTATAATGAGGGTGGCCACAGAGAGTCAGTACAACTGTCCAAATGTATCCAGTCACCATCAACTGGAGCCATGCTAGTGCACTGCAACGCACAAACACAACTTCAAACTCAGTAGCTATAATAGCTTAATTTTATCCAAGCTGTGTAGGGGAGGTTTGAGAATGCACAAGACAGTACTAACAAGGCTGCAGTTTTAGTCCTGGAGGTTTACATAACAGGAAGAATGTTTTATCTTCTTCAAGATTTTAATCTCTAAATTAATTTGGAATAATATTCAATATAGGGAAAAAATAAACAAAGTCACAGATAAAACTAATTGCACATTAATCCTGAAAGCAGAAAATCTGTTAGTCAATAAACTTTTAAATACTATTACAGCTTTCTGCTTTTCACATTTTTTCAGTTAGATGTTTAATCAAATGATTTATAAAAATGCTTCTGTCAACAAATTGAGTAAAGCTATTTAATTCTGTCCACTTAACTAAAATTATAACTACCATTTTGTGGCTGAAAAAGAACACTTTATGTATTAAACACTTCTGTATTGACAATCTCTCCTCACCAGTTTGCCAAGTGTCCATTAGAACAAAACACATTAGCGCATCCTCCCTGCCTCTTCCCTTCCCCTGAGAAGTGTCAAAGCAGAAGATTTGTATTCCAGGATGAAGTTAACTTCTGACACTTCTTTTATTCACCTTTGGGAACAGTTTTGTGTGAGTCCAAGATACCTTAAATAATACTGTCTTGCAGTCCTTGCCCTCAGGCTGTGTCTTAGGGAAAATAAGACCGGAGTGGAGTGAAACTAATACTCTGGCCCAGCAGAGCAAGCCGGCAAAAATGGCCCCAGAATCTAATGTTGTGTTTGTCCCTGCGACAAGCCAGGACTCGAATAGCTGAGAGGCAGCATTGCCCAACTTACCGCCCTGCCTGGGCAGGGCTCCTGAGATTTAATACTGCTTTTCCTGAGGATGTCAAATTCATCCAGAGTTGGGTTTGGTTAATAATACAGTAAAGTGTCAGATACTCTTTGTAGGAAACCAAACTCTAATTGTGCTAGACTGTTTCCTTCACATTTAACAGGAAATCTTGCAAATCCAGTCCACGTTCTTGCTTTTAGGTATGCACTTGAACTAGATGGTTTTGTACATTGCAGGTGGTAGTGCATATAATCAGAGGACAAACTATCATTCCTCAGCAGAAAGGTGCTATTCTAAATTATTAACTCTTCTAATTGAAAGATACAGAAAAAGCTTTAGCTGCTTCCACCATGAGCCTTCACCATTAACATCACAAAATAGTACCAGAGTTAAAGTAATTTTCCCTCTACCCTGCTCACAGCTTTCAAACTGTAGAAAAGATAGGGAAGGCAGTGGCTGTACCTGCAGAAACTTTGAACTCAACATTATTGCTGTTGCCATTACCCAGCTTCCCAGTTCCTACCACAGCCACCTGATCCTTCCTTTGTGATAAATTCTTTGCTGTACTGAACTGATTCTGCATTGCCCAGCAAAGTCCAAAGGGCTGAAAGGAAACTCATTTCCACAGAGAAACCATATGTGACTATTTCATACCAAACAAATGCCAGAGACAGACAATATACTTTCGAAAGGGATGAGTCAGTAAAAACTGAGGCTCATTCTGCCAGGACTCCGAGCGGCCTTAAGGTTACTAACATGTAATTAGTGCATTGATGATACCAGGCTCATTTCTCAGGGTTGCCACTGCACCACTGCCAGTGAAATTACACCTACAAGGCTTATGTTCAGTTTAGGATACAGGCTTAAGCTACCCTCAGATGTAACTTATGTTTCTTAACATTCCTTAGGTTTCAACTTGCTTAAAGTTAGTTTGGTTTGTTGGGGTTTTGGGGATAGTAATTGTTCTTGTGCACATTGAGAGTTCAAACCAGTTTTTGGACAACTTAGTGCTGGCCCCAGCTGTTGGGAGAAGGTCACACTGTGTCTTTCTCAAAGAAAAGATGAGGGAGATGAAAAGGAGAATTTCTGTTTTTTTATTTAACTGCTAGGAGTTTGACTGAGGTTTTTTGTTTTCAAAATTTCAACATAAATGAAGAACTAATATTTTTAATCAATACACTCAGAGATCAAACGCTCAGCTACAGTTTGCTAGAAATGCTTAGAAGCAGACTTTCTGCTTCATTTTACCCAGAATAGGATTATTTTTAATCACTGTCATTCAAACAGTAGGACAGAGACCTAAGGGTAAAAATCAGCTATCTTCACGTGACATGTTCACCTGCATTGCTGGGACCAACACAGCCAAGAAATGCACTGGACAAGCTCTTGACTTAAACATAAGAAAATATTGAGTATCTGCAAGAAGTATTTCTCCTTAACTGGTCCCAGTCAAAGTACAATGATCCTTAATGGTCTAATCTCAAGACTGAAGAATTTTCCTTACCAAAAGTTCTGGGCAACTATTCTCATACTAGTAGGGCTCATGCTGTAGTAGAAGTTTCTGTCTAATGCAGGCTGTGTCAAGGGTCCTTGTTCTGAGAAGAGGATAAATTAATCATGAGAGCTGATCTAGTGGAAGTTGTATTTAAAGGCAACATGAATGATCAGAAAGGAATATTGATCAGTTATGGACTCCAGAAGCCAGTCACTAACTTCAAGTGTAGAGCGATGGAAAAGGCAGTTCGGGGGTTGGCTGGAGCCTAGGAAGTAAGGAAAATGTAAAAACAAAACTTCAGAGGCTATTCCAATTCTACCAGTATGAAATCAGTGCTAACCAAGGTACTACCAACAGAAACTGCATGCCATGCAAGACCACCAGTAAAAGTTTATCCTGGCTATTGCATTGAAGAGGCTTCAGTTTCCTCAGCTGCTTGTTAGGATGGCAACATTACCAGTTCTCTTTGCTCCAGCTGGTGTCTTTGGCTTCCATCACATGGAAGGTGAACACGTGGCGAGAAAACTCAGACCTGTTCAGATCACTCTTATGGACAACTTCACCGTGGATGAGAATGAGTCCACCTGTTTGAAAGAAACATCCGTACTGCTTTGTTCATATTGCAAGTGCTAGCTGTAAAATATAAGGGAAGTTGAAATTGTTAAAATACAATTTTAACTCTCTTGTTTTTCTTAACCTGTAAAACAGACTTGTTTGGGGGTTGTTTTTACCTTTACTTATAGGCAGAGGTATGAACTGGCTGTCATCATAGCCTGGCTCTGACCCTACAAACTCAACACATGTTGAGGCACCTGAAGGTGCACGGACCATTCTTCGGGTAATTCCACCTGCAAATCCACAGAATAAGCAAACACAAAAATTGAGCAGCCAGCTACATTCTGCACAGCAGAACAACAGTATCTGTGATTTCTCTTGGCAATAATAAAGTTCCTATCATTATAGTATATTCAATGTTTTATTTAGAAATTTGGATGGATTTTTTTGATTAAGCAAAGATGTAGGATTTTCCAGCTCTGGCAGAAATTTATAACTGCCTTTTGTTTGCCTTTCTGGATCTTTCTGTATATTGCAACATGGCCCTTTATGAACACAAATAGTCACACTTATGCAAAGACAACCTTTAGTCCATTTCTCCTTTCTCTAAGAGCATAAATTGCAGTCAGTGCAGCTGACTCCAGAATTTATGAGGAATGAGTGGCTTCAAATCTTAAGAGCACTATGATGACACACACTGAGTGAATGCTTACATGAGCAGCAGTTTAAAGCTGATTAGTGTGCCCTAGAGGTAATGAAAACCAGAAAACTGTGCTGGTAATGCAATAGTGGTTACACACACGCAGCAACTACCATCAGTCACAACAGCCATTACATGAGTCTCTGCTGATCTGGTTTTGTCTGTGTGTTCCCCTGGGACACTGACTGTTCTCCGATAGCTTGAATGGTGTCCAAGTGATCCTTGAGAAGACTTGGAAGCTTTCCTTGTTTGCTGAAATTCAGACCAATATTTGAGTGTTGTGTGTGTGTGTAAGAGGATTTTTATTCCCCTTACACAAGGCTGTCAGGACTAAAAATGTTATTGGACAAGGTAAAAAAAAGGGAATCTTTGTGAAGGGGGTACAACCTGGAGCAGTTTTGTGAGTGGATCTAGGGGGGAGAAAAAAAAAAAAAAAAAAAGGTGATTTCTCAGCATATTTCTACTCTGGAAGGCAAAAGGAAGATTATTACTCTGTGCAGTCCAGATCAGACTTGATGAACATTTTCAAAGCTACAGTCAAAACTGTAGAAGGAACATTGACATACAGTGATGACCTGTTTCACTACAGGAAGAAAAGACACAGTAGTTTAATCCTTAAATCTCAGTGGCCTGGCAAGGAAGAAACTGAATCTTGCAGGGGAAGCTTCTGAAATAATACTGAGGTAAAAAGAAGATTCAGGAACAGTTTTAACAGGCCTCCCCTTAACAGGTTCTGGAGTAAATAAAAATTCAGGAGGACTGTCCTTCCTTGCCCCAGTACCCTGGATTCTTTGTTTCTAGACTAGATATCAACATAAAACTAGACACAGTGTCAATCATGTATACTACCTATTTTTTATTTTAAAATATTGAGATATTAGACTCATGTGATGTGCTGGTGGCCAAGAACAAAGTAAAGCAGTTAATAACCTGCCGAAAAATGCGGTTGTAGATTTGACAGCAGTACAGGGGGAGATCCTTGTAGTAAATAAAGTCGACCTTTCAACAAACAAGACTAGTAGTGTGCTTCTGCAGGCACTGCATGATGCAGAGAACACACCACAGTCTGTGTTACCCTCCACCCTTAACCAAGATGAACAGCACTCACCAAGCTACCATGACTTACTGGTGTGAGAGCCGGGAATGAACCACAAGCAGCCATTCTCCTGCGTGGCATCCTCCAGGGCAATCCAGAACCCCAGGACTCTGCCCAGAGGCTCCGTGTGCAGGAAGGTGGCATCCTGGTGCGGGGTCACTGCAACGAGACAGTCATTAGGGGCTTGTAATGCCTGAGGAATTCAGCACTGCCAGAAGGACGTCAGGCTTGTTCTCCCTGACTTCTGGACCTAGCCTACTCTGCCCACCCATCTGTCATACACATTAAATCTTACATAAAAATACCACCTTTCAGCCTGCTGCAAATGTAAGAGTAGCTCTTTTTTCAAGTTGCATATGATATAGAAACAATTCAGGCTCACAGGCTTAAGTCAGATTCTGAACTTTTTCATGCTAATATTCCTTTCCTAAAGGAGTATTATCTGCAGTGATATAGAGATAATATGAATCTCACCTTCACCGCCAATGCCAGGTTGCTGCAAAGGAAGAAAATTGACATGTGAAAATAAGTGTTTCACAGCTGCCCATCTAAATAGGGTCTTATTTCTGTGTGTCACTTCTAGAGTGACAAGATGACTTGAATTACTGTACCTTGAAGATATACATGCTTTGCACAACTACAGGTTTCTCAAGGCCTAGTTTTCTTCCCAATTCCTGCAAGAAAACTTTGCAAGATTTATGTTTGTTGTTTTCTGCACACTATAAAGCATTATTCTTTGAAGATATTTCCATTTCCTTTTACAGACAAAATTACTACCCTTGGGAGTCTAGAAAATTAAGATTAATTACTCCATAATTATATTGCCCCCCCCCCCTGACCATTTTAGGAAACAGTAGCAGCTCACCTGCACCTTGGAGGAGTGGGTGATTTGCTTGAAGACAGGATCACAAGCATGTAAAGCTAACAGGAAAGAAAAGGCTTAGACTGAAGACTTCATTAACTGAAGGGAACCTGGCAGCTCTCAATGAGCTTCAGAGATGGCAACCAGGCAAGATAAATTTCATCCAGAAACTTTCATCCCTCCAAAGAGTGGATATAAATGGTTTATAACACATAAGGCAAGACAACACTTGTAGATTTGTACAGTCTTCTTTAGAGATCAAAAATATAATCACTCACTGGCCACAAACTGCAACTGTATTAAGAAATACTGTATAACAGAGGGTACAAAAATTGAGTGTTATGTGATTAATTATTATATCATGCAAATGCTAACACGACAACCACTATACATGACCCTGAGACACATAGGCGAATTCACCCTTTAAAGACACAGTTCTTAAGACCTATCAAAAAAGTAAGTACTGCAAAAATTAGCTAGAGCTTATTTTTGGTGCCCTTCACAGAGAGCCACAGCCTGCAGGTCAGAGCCCAGTTCTGACAAAACCATAAAGCAAAGACTTTGAATTGTGCTTCCATCTTAACATGATCAGATTTGCTACGAGGACACACGACCAGGTCCAGCAGGGGCTGCTCCCGAGCAAGGGATGAGGCAAGACTCAACCAAAAGGAGTAATTATAAAAAATAAGTTAAGTTGCTGAGTCAGCAGGCACCCGCAGTTGTTTTCACTTCCCCTATGAAAAAGCTGAAGTATAACAGAATGGCAGGAGGGGTGGGAGGGAGAGTGCTTTTCTGAGAAAACTAAAGAACCAAGAACTCTCAGTACTGAACTTCCAAGTTTAATAAAGTTTAATCAGAACAAAGTTAATGTGTTTGGAGACACAGTGACTCCTGCTCTCATTTTCCATGTATTGTTTGCAAACAAAAGGGATCAAAACGAAAGTTCAGTATCTGGGAGAGAGGAAATAGGTCAAGCTGAAACCAGTAAGGGTAAAGAAAGGTGCTGGTGACACCAAAGGAGAGAGGACAGCTTTGGTGTTGGCAACCCACCACTGCAGAGGACACAGAAGACACAGTCTGAGCTGTACTGAATGTGACCAGTCTTAGGTGGTAAATTTGTTAGAGCAATCTCTTACATAAAAGAGACAAGGGCTGAAGTCCAAACTTTCACGTATCACTGACTCTGCGCTATGCATATCTGAAAATCCTCCTAGAAGGGTTTTTTGAAAAGGATTGCAACAGAAGATTTTTAAGTCCTTTGAAAGCAGAGAGTGAGGGGCAGCACAGAGACAGTTACAGAGACAGTGACAGAGCGACGTGGGGAAAAGCAGACTGACGTGTAGAAATCAAATTGAAGAATTTAATGCAGAATACCAGAATAAAACAACACAGGGTTGGTAAAAACGGGAGGTGTGTGACCACAATTGCAAGAGCAGATGAGGTTTGCGATATTTGACACAGTTGTTCCCGTGAAGCAGAGAGAAGCAAGGGAAGAGGGAAGTTGCTTCTCTGCTCAGAATAGTTTCAACTCAGATGGTCAGGGGTTATTTATAGCAACTAGGTCTGGAGAAATCCTAGTGTTTGAGAACCACATCCCTCTTGTTCATCCCTCAAAACCCCACCCTTTAAACGTACCATGGCCAATCTTGCTGACTGATTTCTCCTTTGGAATTAGGAAGTTACCTACGAAACAAAACCAGAATTTAACATTGCTTGCAAAGCAGAAATCATCCTTAAAAGCTGGAAACTGGCCCCTGACCCCTCACACTCAGCCTTCTCCTGTCCCCTCCCCGTGGCTAACTCAGGCCAAGGCTTACCTCTCTCATCCAAAACACCTTTCTCAAAGAAGAATCTAATCTTGTCTCCACTGGTTAGGAAATAATCCGAGCTACCCTGCCAGGGATAAGAGCCCAGTAAATATAGTATCCTTGTAAAAACATAAACGAACCTTCGATCAAAGCGTTAACACTCACCTGCATCTTTTTCCCATCAGGCCGCAGCATAAACAAAACACAGTCAATAGAAATCACTCATAAAAAGGCTTTCAACAATGCTAAATGTCTTAGCATTGATTAGGACTTTACAAGAACCCCTCACATAGAGGCTACCCTTGCTTTTCTTTTTCTGGCTGCCTGGAAAATATTATTTTCTGTCTGGAGAACAAATACAAAGTGATTTGTGAAAGCTGCTTGTGGCTACCAGGGGCAATAGCTGTGGTGTCTGAAATCACAGCAGAGCCACATGCGTCCTTCCCTCTTTCATCCTCTAACAAGAACACCACCAAATATTTGTAGAAAGCTGGAGAGCAAATGCCTCTCACAGCATTATGTTCAGTTAGAAGAAAAATTCATGCTCCCCCAGAGTGAATCCTGAGCAGCTATTTGGCTTTTCCCTTTCCCCTTCCAGTGCCCCAATGGGGACAGCCCAGCCCTTCTCAGTACCTGCGCCTGGAGCTGCTCCTCTTCCTTGGTGGAGAACTCGGTGCGGCAGTGCGGTGGCACTTCCATCTCCGCTACGATTCTCTGAATCTGATTCCTCATGCTGTCACACTCCTCCGCAGTGAAAAAACGCTCTAGGACAAGGAAGCCATCCTCCTGGAACTGGAAGAGATGGGGTGACTGATCTCCTCCAGCACAAGAGAAAACAGTTCTGCTGCTTTTCTGTGCCTCAGCTCAGTACAAAAAGGATCCCCACTCCAGCTCTGCAGCTGGACAACATGCTCATAATTTTTAATTTCATGAGAGGTTTCTATTGTAAAAAAAGAGTATGTTAACAGGCTCAGATTCCATTCAGTTACAAACAACATATCTCAACCCCTCAGTCCACAAAGCAGAGAAGATACCGTTGCTAGAGCCTCTGTGGTTTCAGGTTATCTTAAGATAAGGTGTGTAACCAGCAACTATTAAATTACAAAGCCTGCTAACACAAACAGAGCAAACATACCTGCACACCAAGTAAGAATGAGATTCTTTTACAAGCTGGGAAGTGTTGTTTTCTCTAAGGGAAAAGTCCCTGGGTGATTTCTCATGGATGACTACACAATCCCTTACAAAATGAAATCAACTCTGTTGGGACTACTGTTTCTTTATATAGAATACCCTGGAGATTATCCTTTGAGAGGCAGATTTCAAGTTCATGGATAAGAGCTGAGCAGCGGAGATAGAAGGGCATGAGACAAATTCCTCCAAGAGGTCTGCAGGACAAGTTTCCCTCTAGAAGAGTTTATAGCCATGGCAGGGTCCTCACACACTCAAAATGGATGTAATACAAGAAGCTGAGAAGAATACAAAGTGCTTGTAAAGCAGATCTTTGCTAGACCTGAGCAAAGGTTAACGAGCAGTGACCGTATCTTACAAGCAGCATCACCTGCCGGCACTACAGACACGCTCCTTCCCGGAGTGCAGTTCCTTACCTTTTGGAGCTGATGCTGGGTTACAAACGCCATCGGGGCAGAAGCTAACAGGATCCCACTGGCAACACCACAAAGCCACCCAGGCTCTGCAGGGCTGACTCCCCGCCTCTTCACGTGATCGTTTTCCCAGTACGCGATAACAGCAAGGCGCTGGGCAGCCGGACTGTTGCGCAGCCAGCAGAGCTGCCTCTCAAGGGATTTCGTCCCCATTTCTGGCCATTTGTTCCTTGTGGGGACATTCGGGGTTGCAGTTTTGCTTTGGTTCTTGGTGCTAACATGAAGTGCACAAAAATGTCCTGCTCAGATGTGATCACAAGCCTGATTCACTTCATAAATCCAAGGAGAAATCACTGTTTTAATTAATAATCCAGATTTAAAAAAAAAAAAAAAATAGAGCCCTTAAGCTGGTAGACACAGTGGTAGAATAAGATTCAGGTGGGTTGAAAAGATCTAAAAGTTTTCAAACAAATTTAAAGTGACAATTCAGGCTCCTACAGAGCCCTTTTTGCTCAGTCAGCGAGTCCTGCCAGCACTTCAGCACCTGAAGGGGACTTCAGTGACCCAAGAGATGACAAATGTCAGACTAAAGTGTTTAAAGAGCTTTCTCTAAGGGTCGAGGAAAATTCAGAAAGCTGTTATTTTCATTCACAGCTGCTCTGTGGCAATGTACACCTTCACTTGCTTGGCTCGCTCTCCTGCAGCTCCAAACGTGCATGTAAATAGACCAGCCCAGTGCCACGGTTCAAACCAGAGAGAGAAAATGCAAAAACTAGATCTAAAAGGCAGAAGGTAGTGAAGAACAGATGCCAGCCCAGCGGTGGCGCTCCCTGCCAACACATCCTTCCCATCGCACTGGAATCCCTGGGGCAGATTTTTCTCTTTCAAGTTTGGCTCTTGCAGGAAACACTGAAAACATCTTTTCAGTAGCGCTCCACAAAGAAGTAACATCATGGAGGAGGTTTTATGCATCAGTCACCTCGCCAAAAGAAAACACAACAAAATGAACAAATGCAAAATGCTCATGGGAAGGTGTTTACTCCCAAATAGATTTGCTAGCAGCTGAAAATCCATCTTAAAAAGACATTTGATAAAGTCTTCTAGTCTGTAAGGGAATCAACTCTGGATAAAAATCCCTCCCTAACTTGTTCAAGTCTTTTTCCTTTTTTTTTTAATAAAAAAGGAATTCAGTGTTTTCACCAGAAAACATCTCTCTCTGAGCATTTGCAGCTTGTTTTCAAGCTTTTATGTGCACACAAGAAGATATGAATTTAGTACTGAATTTGGTACTATAAAAAGCTAAATTTTGCCAGACACTTGGCTACAAATGTGGAGGGGCAACAATCAGCCTCCAATGCCACAAAATTCACAATCAGGTAGTTCCTCCTTCCTGTTAACAGACTCTCACCAAGTGATGAAGCTGAAAAGCTTAAGGAAGAGGTGCAACCAGTGGGAAAAGCCCTGCTGTAGCTATTGCCTGTAAATCCATCTTGCGAGGACCCACCTCACCCCACTCTGGGCGGCAGCAATCCTGCAGAGACATGCCTCTACACACACTCCTGTGCCGCTCCTCGGTCCCTCTCTGTGTTACCTCCGTCATTCAGAATGTCAGGTACCTCTCATTCCCTGACATTTTTTTTTTCCCCAGCAATTTAGCACGTCATCTTCTCCACTCCCCACTTTACGCACACATGATGACTTCAGAAGGTGCTTGAGTTCATACGCACAACAGTAAACCGCAGCTTTCCTGTTCTATGGATTGTTTTGAGCAATATAAACAGCAGATCGCAGCACACAACACCGCAAGTACCAGAAGATAACTGATTGCACAAACTAGGAGAGGCAACTCAGCTCAGTTTCAGGAGCATTCATCACTGTGTGTCCTTAGGAGCCCTCCAGCTCTTTGCCACTCCAGGCGTTCTCCTATTTTGAGGGTAGAAAGAGCTTTTCTGCAAGAGGAAAACCACTCCCGCCACATAATGCCCAAAAAAAGCCAAAGAGAAGGGTATCATCTTTGTAAATACCTTCTCTTCCAGTAAGTTTAAATAAGGAAGATAGAACGTATTCAGACAAAACTGGGAAATGGCCCCCTTTTCCTTCCCTTTCTCCCCCTCGGAGAGCTCTTTTGCAGAATACTGAAGAATGCTCTCTCCTGCCAGCTCTGCAAGAAAACCGCATTTCTGGCAAACTCCATCGGAGGCTACCAAAGCCCATCCCATGTCTATATGAAAGGTACAGGAGCAAGTGGCATCTGGAACATGGGCAACCTTGCAGCAGACAAAGCACAAGTGTTTCAAATGCCTTTTTGACTGGCACAATTAGACTAATTTCCTCCTCAGTAAAAGTTCTTATTGAAACCATTTGGAGCCAGGCCAGCTTGCCAGCACTCTCATCAAAATTGCTGCTGTTGGAGCTGCCAGGGTTATTAGGCAAGCAAAAATTTCAGCTAGATCTCTTATCACCTCTCCTGAAGTATTCTGTATGATCAGCAGCAAGTGAGAGAATATTTCATGAGAAACAAGGAGCACAGGAACAACAATAACCATGATGACTATTTAAATTGTATATTAGTATTTAAAATGGCAGGAATACTTGACTACTTTTGTTTTCCCTGTATTGGCAGTCCTTTCTTTCAAGTTATCAGGAGCCTCAGAAGTGCAGTAATTTTCCATCAAGAGAATTCTCATTGTCAGCAACAGGTAAAAACAAAGTGGTTACTTTCTTCAAAAATTAGCAAAGTAAAAAGCTTATGGTGCAGTAGGGCTCGAGGATTTTACCAGAATAAAACCAATATAGTTCCAGCTGCCTCTATTGAATCTTTACACTTTTCATAGAAAATTTGGAATTATCAGGATTAAAAGTCTTTTTCTAAAAAATAGATCAGTTTGTTACTCTTCGGCTCTTTCCCCATCACTGTATTACAGCCCTGCAGGAATCCAGCAAGGACCAGTTTTCTTTGATGGTACCTTTCACTCTTTCCTTTTGCTCAGCTGTTCAAAGAGCTGGTAAATCCTTGCCAAAAGGAGCTGCAGTCCAAGTAAGCCTTAGATGACAAGGGGTATTTTGTCTTTTCCTTTCTTTGTTCAGACCTGCTAAGCATTTCATTAAAACTCATCCATGCCAATAAGCAGCATTGGAGCCTACCACCTTTCACCTGTTTCACAGCCTGCTCATATTTTCTGTCACTAAAGTGGGGCCAATGTCACTGTGGTCAAGTAGTCTGGGACAAAGGAAGCAACATAAGGCAAAACACAAGAGAAATACCTTCTATACAATAAATGAGCTGCACAGAAACTCAAACTGTCTTCGAAAGTTACAGGATGATTCTCTGTAACACATCATGGACCTCATCAAGTTAGAAAAGATGCTATCTGCCAGCATTTCCAGTTGAAAAAGTAGTGCATGGGGTAAGCAGACAGCTAGGAAACAATTTGTTACCAGCAGTTGACTAAAGACACTATTTCTATGGCAGCAGGCAGTTTTCTCCATTGACTTCAGTCCCTATCCCGGGGAAGGACAGCACAATATGCATTTTGAAAACCCAGCTGAGTTTCTGTAGGTCTATGCAGACAATACTCCCAAAAGAGTCTTATATTTGGCAATGGGAACTGTTTCAGCCATCTGTTAAAGTGATGATGAAATATGTAAAGCAGTCCAGGCTTGTCACTGAGCAGGACCTCTTTCGCTGTACATTTACTTTTTGCTTATTCATAAGGGAATGTCATAATCCACATGGACTCATGTGATGAGTAAAAAAATCCAATAATCCTACACAATAGCTGGAATTATTAACATCTGTCTTCTGAGAAGTGAGATCATGAAAGGCTAAGAGCCTTTGCATACAGAAAACTTTAAAAGAAAGCAGACATAAAAGGAAAATGCAAATTAAAAATTAAAACTTTTATTCTGTTAAAGTGTCCAGTCTTACAAGTCTTTCAGAGAAAACAAAAGTAGCCTTCAGTGCTTAAGGTGGAGGTGCTGTTGATCAGCTGCCCAAACAATCCCACATACAAAGTGAATGTCATGATTCTGAAATGTTACATCAAGTCGCAGGTCTCGGATGCCAAACCACAACCCTGCTCGTGCATTTATAAAATGGGAGTGAACAATGTTTAAGCCATGAGTAGTGTCTTAAATGGACACATTTGTCAGCTGTAAAAGATGACTCAGGGTCATTAGCCCCCTTCTCATTAAGTCTCCTCTAGAAAAATTTCCCCCCATTGTTCAATAAAATTCCTTTAAAGGAGACAGAGGAAGGAAGGGAAGGGTAATTCCAGAAATCCTAAATTAAGCCTTTCTTTGTATGAATTCACACAAAGTTCATCTTTGCTATTAGGGTCCAGCAACTCAGGTACAGCTACTTTTGAAAAGGTATTTGGGAGATTAGATTTCTGGAGGATTCCATACTGCTGAAGCAGTTGAATATTAACCTACCACTGCAGCTGGAGGGATGGAGGGAGAAAGGTCTGAGTCAAACAATACTCTTGTCCCGTTCCAGTTCTGCTTCATGCACTGTTAAAATGAAGATAAGACAGAAAACTCACTCTGTTTTGGCACATGCTTAGTAAAATTACAGGATCCACTGTGTCACCAGACAGTGGGGAAAAAATTTTTCCTTTTCAAATGCAACAAGGGGGAAAAAAAAAAAAGTGACATTTAAGCAATAGTTTTACTAGTTAGCATTCACACAGCCTTACCTTAAGTAATATTTCTGAGTAGATGACTCTATGGTATGACAATATTGTTTGTCAGTGAGAAGTCACACCAAGAATTAGGAAATCTCTCCATGGTTGAAAGAAAAAGAATCAGCAGGAACAGCTGGCTTCAGGCAGAGACTATTACAAATATACTTGAAGAAACAAGTGACTCTGTGGAGAAGTTACATTAATGTATCTTGAGAAAAGGCACAGGTATTAATGAGGAAAAGTTACTCGTCCCCTGAAGGAGGACCAAAAAAATTAAAAAAAAAAAAAAAAAAAAAATCTAAAAGAGCTCAAACCATGCAGTCCCTTCATGAAGCAGAAAAAAAAAGGAAACAATGTCACAGATGTTGAACCAATAATACTTGAAACTTTTTTCCATACACCTCATCATCTGTAAAGGATGTTCTCAAAATTCCCAGAATCATTTGTTAAAAAAAAAAAACAAAAAAAAACAAAAAAAAAAAAAAAAAAAACCACCAAACCCAAAAAAGCAAAACCAAAACCACCCAGGACCTCAGTGTGGTTCAGCAACAGAAAGCCACTTAATACTATTTATGGTAATGAACACCAAGAACTTTAATTAAAATGAAGTGAGCTAAATGGACTGTATAAATGGTAACAAGAAAAAATAAAAAATGAGGTAGGATATTATCAGGAAGTGACAATTAATACCAAAGAACACCACATCATGAAAGATACCTGTAAAAGCTATTTAACCAGACTGGCAGAGTAAATTCATTCCAGCTGCTGAATTAACCAGGGACCAAATCATAAAATCAGAAAGCAATCTTAAAGAACTTTAGCTAACATTCCAGTGCATAGTTTCAAGAGATACAGCAAGATTTAACACATTTAATAGGTTTGGTATTCCTTGCCTTTCAGCTGGTTCAAAATAATTAGTTGCAACTTGTTACTTTTCCGGGTATTTAGCAGGAAAGGTAGAATTCCCTTTTACTAACCTTCAGTCCTAACACAGGATGAGTGTGCTTGTGATCTACAGGGGTTTCAAGAACTCGTTCAGCTCAGAAGTGCTATTAAGGAAATAGTTGGGTTTAATTCAAGTTGTATGATTTAGCAGCTAATAAATAATCTGGTTTGCTACTACTAGAGTGCTTTGAAAAGCCTGTCAGAAGAACAAGACACTGACCAGACCGTTGATTGTCTGCTTAAGTTGAACTTTTTTTCTGAACACACAGATCAGTGTCAGAAATAAAACCCTTAAACTTCAGTTTGATGGGAACATAAAGGAAAAAAAAATATACACTGATTGAATGCTTACAAATGAGGAAGGATTGTTGATGTAAGCTCATCCCTCAAAGACTGAGCAATCCAGACAAGTATGGGAAGTGGATGACTCACTCTGCTGTGGGTTGAGTTTTGCAGGAGTCCTGAGCAGTAAACATGTTCAGGACCTCATGGTTTAGACATTATCTTTGAAGTTTTAAAGCTTCTTCCATCTCATCACACAAGACTGATACTCTGGAATCAGTATCTATTTGAGGGAAGAGCAAGAAGCACATAACAGGAGTAAATAATACATATTGCTGTCTTCCAGAGTGGCAATGTATTCGTGCCACCTGTGTTTCTGGTACAAGTTATCAGACTGCTGATCCCAATTTTGCCACAAAGGAAGCTATCTCAAGCCCTAGCAGCCATGACCAAAAAACCAAGCTTGGCATATTTTAAGAGCAGCAAAAAAGCTAGTGTTTTCATGCATGATCAATACTGGCCTGTCTTATAATTGCTTTGTAGGCCTCAGGAGTAGGGCAGTCTCTTCTCAGCAAGCAGCAGGAATACAGCTCTTATTTGATTAGAAGCTAGAAACAGCCTCTCATTTCTAACAGAATAGCCTATTGTCCACTTGTCCTATGGACTCAGCACTGAGATACAGAACAGTTCAGGAGACTTGCAAACTTCTAGAAGCGCTGCAGCATACTTTCAGGAGCTGCTTATAGAAACTTCTAACAGCTGTGTAAAGTTTAGTCTGTGTAAGACCACAGCTAGAATCAAGAGTCAAAGCACTCACCTACAATGATCTAGACATATAGAAGAAATCTCTCTGCTCCTGTTAAGCTAGGTGAAAATTCCGTGAGGCACTTTGCCCTTTCAGTCCTGCCTAGTCTAAAATACATGTGTTGTAGACCAGTTACTCAGTGGCCTTGAACACAAAATTGAGTTCAAGCCTCTATCCAGTAGCCATTATTCTCCAGCACTATCTTTTGGCACAGAATAAGAGGGGGTGGGAGAGTTTCCTTCACAATCCAAACCAACCCCACACCCACCGCAAGGAACTGACTGGGAAATAGTATTGCTGTAGCTAAGCCTAAAGCATTTCTGGTTTACTTAAGAAGCATTAAGCCCACCTAACAATTTTTGCCCTCTCTGTTGATCCAAAATGCTTGTCCAAATAGAACAAGTACAATCCAAGAAGCATCAGCAACAATACTTCCCCATCCTTTCAGCAGTGGCCCCAACTCTAACGTAATTTCAAGACACTAACCCTGTTAGAAACAATAAGAGCTTTTACAGTACCTTGCCACTCAGATAAAGAGATTTAATTATATTATTCCCTGGACTGTTTAAACTTTTCATAATGAATGGACTAAGGGAGGCAGAATTTACATCTTTCTTAAAAGCAGTTGTATAAACAGATATCCTGGATTTTAATGTAGCTTTATTTAAGCATCTGAACATCAACAAATCCAGAGCCCAATTAACATTGTTCATGGTTTCAGCACGTTTAGTGTATATATTTCATATCTTACATCTGATGAAGGAAGCCACAGTGTGCCTTATTGCCCCAACATCCAAGGGAACACCACGATTTGCTAAGCCAGGGCAGCTGACAGCTTGCCAGGAACTGCTCTGGAGATGGCTGCAGCTTCCCCCTTTTGTACCCAGGGGAGGCCTCCAAACTTCTCATGCCTCAGCTTGCAGCACTCCACCTTGAAGACAACCTGTTGGTCTGATGCAAGTATCACAACCAGGACCTGCAGGTCCTCAAGCCTCCTCTTCCTTCTGATGGAAAAGAGCAGACTTAAGGTGTATTGTAGGCACACCTTAACGACTCCACCTTAAGGACATGATTATCAGTAGCTATTGTAAGTTATCTACCTCTGCCAGTGCAGAAGGTTGTTTCATTGTGTTGTTTTGTTGGGGTTTGGTTTTGTTTTGTTTTTTTTTTTTTTTTTTGGTCAAACAATACCAAACAGGTCAGACTTGTTTCAGTAAAAACTGCTCTGTCCCAGTGATCTAGAGGAGCTCAGTCCATGGAGGATTCTCATACTGCTCCTTAATGCTGACAGAATGAAAAGGGGAAGAAATAGCAGGACAGGTTTCTTTTCCAGCACCAAGTTCAATCAGCATTAGCCTCTTATTTAGGTCAAGAGGTGTAACAGGAACTGACAGCTGTTAAAGTGGGGATGACAACAGGGAAAGAAAAAACAACCAAACAATCAAGCAGTTCTGTAGACTGCATTCATGAACACTGGCAAAGCATCCAACAACTTGGGGAGCAGGGCAGGAGGCAAAAGGTGCAGAGGAAACCTAAGTGTTCCTCTTTACTAACACCACCAACCCCAGGAGACACCCCGACACACTGGCCAGTTGTATGTTCATATTTGACACATGACAAAAATACCAGGAATTTAAAAGTAGCTTAAAAACTTTAAAAGCCAGATCCTCAAGCAACTTGATGCTTCTGGATAATAAGACAGTCCAGCTGCTTTTTATCCAGATCTTTCTCCCACTTGCACTATAACCATCAATTTCAGAACAGGCTAAAGCTCTGGAAGTGTCTCCAGCACATCAGCTGGAGAAGGATGCTATGTGATCTACTCATCAGCACAAGTGACTTGAAATTTTTCAAATAGTGCAATCTTAAATGAGCACATAGTTTGGGGGTGGGGGGTTGGTTTCTTCTCCAGGGACAGAGGAGAAGGTGTGGAGTACAAAGGGGAAAGACAGTTGGTTAAAAAAAGATCCTGCATTCAAGCTGATGTCTGAGAAGTTTATCCCCCAAATACTAATGCCAGCATCTAGATAAAATCAGCTGTCTGTATCCTATCCCACCCCACCGTAGGGCCTCACTAACTGACTCTCTAAGTCAGGAACAGTACCAAGTGGCAGGGAGATGGAGGTTCAAGAGGTTTCCTAGTCTCTTGATCTTTGCTTGCAGGACACTGGACACTCTCAGTCCCTAACACATATAACCCCCATTTAGAGCAATGCAGCAATCCCCACATTCCATCTTCTCCTCCATTCAAAGGTCATTTCTTCTCACCAGCACCATCCACCTCACCCCACTTCCTGTCCAGAAGAACAGCAACACCTCTTACTCCCAGTGGCCCTTGCTCAGAGGCCAACTAATCTTTCTTGATCCTCATCCTGATCCCAAGCTTCCCCCATCCTGCATGTGAGGTAAGAAGCCACCTCATTCAGTCATGTTTGTTCAGGGACTCCTTGGCTAGCCTGGTAGCGATCAGAGGGGAGAAAGGGGAGGATCTGGGGAAAAGGGGACTAGAATGGCCTTTTGTTTCCTTCTTGTTGGTCAGAGGCTTTTCCCTTTTTTCGGGAGTTCAGGCTTGCTCTTTGTCTGCCCTCCACAGCCGCTCTTTGACTTCCAAGGGCAGCGTGTTGAACAGGTCCTCTTCTACTACAAGCCCACTGCGTTTCAGCAGAGGACATTCTCCCAGCTCCACAGGCAGGCACTCCAAGCGGTTCCCTCGTAGCTCTATCTGTGACAGATTTGTCAGCTCCCCAACCCGGGATGGGAGTGACTGCAGCACATTGTTTCCCAGGTTCAAGGTTCTCAGCTTCCTGCACTGGAACAGCTCTGGTGGGAGACTCTCAATCTGAAAAAGAAGAAATAAATCAATCATAGGAAAAGTCACCAGCAAACAGGACACGTGCTCAGAGACCAACAAGCCAAAACAGCGCTTCAAGATTTACAGAGCATTGTTTTTAATCATCTACTTCTCCCTTGAGTAAGCTCCTCCTTCCCACCATAAGGACTGTTCCCGAAGTAAAAGGCACTACACCACAATTGTATGGATTCTTCTTTCAGACACTCTTTTGCATTAGTTACAAAAGATCACCAAAGACAGATGCTAAAGCAGAAAACAATCACCAAGGGCAGGATTAGAGAATCAGAAAGCTGCTCACAGCTGGCCTAGACTGTCACATGCTCCCATCAGTATTAAATTCTTTCCATCCCAAACCCTTTATACCATCATTAGATCACAGCTCCTTTTCTTTAAGTAGCCATTGTACAATTGGTATCGTACTGAACACCACAAAGACTGGATTTAGTCAGGAAACCTAATTTTGGCACAGTAAGAGCAGAGGCTACATGACTACAAACTCCAGGCCCTGAAAACTGGGACTATTCTTTCATCATTTCTGTAGGGCTTTGAAGTGTTGCAAAGACTTTCTAGGTTTCAAAGCACAGGGGTTTTTGACAGTGCCAAAATGCAACAAAAAAAAAAATGAAGCCACCAGCTGCTAGCTTTCCCACCACCACCACCTTCGTGTATCCATGAGTCACTAATTTAATAAAGTTTATTTCCATTAAAGCCTTTTAATAGTCCAGTCCTCCCAAAGAATTTCTAGGAAAACAATATGGCTAGGGTTTAACAAACACTAGGCTACGAACTAAACATAGCAATTCAAGAAGAGACTTTGAATTAAGGGAAGAATACTGGAGGCTATCATTTGCCTTTAAATGCAACCATGAACTTTTTAAAACTTCAATTATGCATGATATCATTCATGGCTAAATTAGACTGCAATCAGTTCTGAATGAGATGGAGTCCAAGGAAAAGCCAAGATGAGACCAGACTCATTAAAGACAGTTCAATTCAGTCATTGTTACTGGTACTGTTGAGCATTTTTCAAACAGCAACATGCAATCAAATGATCACAGGCTTTTGAAAATAATAGTGTTATTTAAGGGACAAGTATTGGTTTAGGAAGGAAGCAACATGCTATAATACAGCCTGCTTCCCATAATGGTACACTAGTACCAGCCAGCTCCAGAAGTCTCTATTTGCCAAGACTGCTGACCTAGGAGAGGACATTTGAGATAATTCCTGGCCTTGGGAAATCCCAGCCTACCAGTCCTTATGTTTCTTGCTGTTGCTGTTTACTGTAAGCAACCAGGCTGTCAGAGCCCCAGGGCAATTGTGGCCTTGCCCAGGCACCTTCAGAGGATATAAACAGCTCAGCTGTTTCACTAGGTCCTCATCACCTTTTGCTTCAGAACACACTGGAGCAAAATCTGCTCCAGCCTTCCTGTTGTATTAGCATTTTTCAGAGAAAAATGGGTGGTGCCACACTGTGCTGCAGAAAATAGAGCTGCAAGTAACTCATTTTCATCCAAGAGACACTCCGCCCCAAGACTTCAGAGGATACACTGCAGATTAACCCTTGGGAAGTTGTGCTAGGAAGGTTGCCAGTAGTACAGAATTAACTGTGTTCTGAACAGGGGCATAGGGATCCCTCATCTTTAATTAATGCCATCCTCAGAAACTGCCTATAGCAGCCTCACCTGCCCCAATAAATTATTTTGCCTTTTAACTTAATAGGAAACAATGTGTGCATACCATGAAGTTTACCAGAGCTTAAACCACCCATACAAACAGATCCACAGTCATCCAGTCTGTTAGTGCTGGGAAAACAGAGTGAGGAGCTATTAAACTGGGATAGCTGAACGGCTGCTGTTCTCTTGCCATTACTCTTCAGTAGTGCAACACGAGACTTGAACTTTCAGATACTAACTGCAAAATGCTGTCTGGAGTTTTAGGAACCCTGTGTAATACTGAACTGCAGTAGCAATTAAATGCTTGATTTCAGAGCGCTTCCCCTGTGAAAAGCCAACCCTATACTAGAGATGCTGTGTACTTCTCACAGGCAGTTTGACAGTGTTCAGTTATGAATACATCTTGCCAACAGCAGTAAGCATCTTGATATACAACAGTGAAAACTAGGACTGCTCCAGGACAGCTCTACTGCATATTCCCAGAAGAACCCAGAAGCCACTAATTAGGTCTGTCTGCAATTTGTAGTTATGTCAGAGCCTTTTGCAACGTCATGTGGTAATAAACTTCAAGAGAAAAAGAGCCTCCCAGGAATTTGCAGACAGAATGAACAAAAGCTTCAACAAGCCATTCAGCTCGGCACATCAGTCTGCACAGTCACAGGCTGATCTTTACGATACATGGTAAATGAAGTCTCCTTAATCCCAAACACAGGAACACAGATTCAGGAAAACACACAGGTACAGTTTGTTTTAAGCAAATAAACACCTTCCAACACAAGCCAAGAAATGACTTGTGGTGACTGGGCAGCAAAGCACACTTGGTCATTCCCTCTAACCTGCTCTGCGCTTAGACAGACTTAAACAGTTAAGGCTTAGACTTAACCTATCTGGGATCACACAAGAAAACCCACAGCCATCATGCTGAGGCACAGCATGGTGCCATCAGATATTTTCCCCCCCTGAAAATCAAGGAATTGCCATGGGTGACACTTTCACATCCAACTGACTACCAATTGATAAACCTGATTTAGTGCACTCTGCCCCAAGTAAGGACACTGCAGAATATTGCTTTACTCTCTCCAAAGTCACCTTTGTGGAGTAAGATGATACATTTTAAGAGTGAAAGCTTAAGAATGATTTTTCATAAGTCTGTCCATATCCAATGTTTCACAAAGTGCGCGCTTACAATACCAAACTATGGAGTATTCTCTGGAAATGCAAAGTACTATAAGCAAAGATATAAGCCACACACATACATGCCCAAGATGGCTGCTGCCATAGTGTATGTACATGTCTGAAGTACATAGGTTTAAATACATAGTTCTAGATTAAGACTACAGTCTACTGTAGACTACTACCAAACCAGAGACTACAAGCTTCCAACTGCAGAGTACAAACTAACAGGCAGGATTTCTAAGCGGCCTCCAACTGGAATTTAGAAACAGCTTCACTGTTAAGAGAGGAAATGTTATGGAACAAGGGCTGTTGGATGAAAGGCTTGCCCCTGGAGTTATTTGCAATGTTTTGCCTTAGATAAACCCCTCAGAGAGAAACAAAAGCTTGAGAATTTAAATAGAACAGCAGTGCCAGGAGTATTTCACACACCACTGTAGCATGTTTAATCACACGTATAACAGAAGTGCCAGAGTTACTTTTACTCACACAAGAATGCTCAGCTCCTCGCTCACTTACCCTGTTGGCTGTCACAGCTAGATTCTGCAGGTTTTGAAGAAGCCCAACATCTGGCGGTATGGAAGTCAAGTTGTTGTGGCTGAGATCCAAATACCGAAGTTTTCGGCAATAGAAGAGCTGGGTAGGGATCTTTTCTATCTTGTTACGATTCAGGTAAAGGCGTTCTAAATTGGTTAGGTTGCCTATTTGCATGGGGATGTAGGCAATGTGGTTGTACCACAGTTTAAGGCAAGTAAGACGATGTAAGTGCTGGAAGCTGATGATTTCCTCAATGGTCTTGAGGTTATTGTCCTTCAGATCTATCTCCTGCAGATTGTGGAGGCTAAAGATAGAGTGAGGAATACGTTCCAAGTCACAACGGATGAGCTCAAGCTCTGTCAAGTTGACCATTTTCTTAAGGCTGTTGAGAACAATGAGCTTGGTGCCCTCATTGTTGATGGAAAGCTTCTGAAGATGCACACCAACATCTGTTACCACCTGTGGCAGCTTGGTGAGGTTGCTCTTCAACCTCAACACCTTCAGCCTCTTCAGCTCCCTCAATCCATCTATCACAATGTACCGGTTGTTTTCAGCACTCAAATTCCCTGTCAGATGAAGCTCTTCTAGGGTCTTCAGGCTATAAATCCAAAGAGGAATCTCCTTGATGTCTGTGAACTTGATGTGGAGAGATTTCAAGTTCTCCCTCAAGAAGGCAAGGGCTGGAGCCTCAATTTTGGCAGCTGTGTGGTAGAGCCACAGTTCCTTAAGGCTGGTGAGCTGAGCAATGCTTGGGGGAATAGTGACATCGGGGATAAGCTCTAGCTTCAAGACCTCCAGCTCAATGAGGTCAAAGACCGTATCAGGAATGCCACTCAACATGAAAAGATGCAATTCTAGCTTATCCTGGGAGTTCTTAGTGATCCTCTGGCGCAGCTTCTCCAAAGTCCACTCATTGTTGAGGTTCAGCTGCCGCAATTTGTTCTCACTTACCTCCGACAGAAAGACAGCAAAGCGCTTGGAGTACAGTGGGTCATACTGATCGATCAGATGGAGCATAAAAGCAAAGTCATTTTTCACATCAGGAATGTCACTGTAACTGCTCTCCTCCCGGATGGACTCAAAGGAGTATTTCTTGAGTGATCGCCTCAACATCCACCAGAGTGTGTACATGCAAATCAAGCCATAGAATATCACCAAACTGATGTAGAAAGATGCCAAGATTTTGAAGAGAGTGGCCAAAGGATGAGCACAGCGGTACATCCTGTAGCCAGTCAAACTCTCAATGTCCACTTTACAGTCAACATCAAATGTTATGTTGTTGACATAGTAAACAGTATAGCAGATGATCAGAATAAACTTGATCACTTTGATGATGGTCTGTCTCATGTACAGGCGATAAACTATATCTCCCTCTTCCACATGCGTACGGAACTTTTTCACTTTCTCAAAGAGTGCTTTGGCCTGTTCACCTTCCTTTTTGTCCAAGACACCAGTCTCAGACCGGTCCACAATCCCTTGCTCAATTCGAGACTTTGTTCTCTGCAGCATGGGAACAGTGGCTTCCACATCCTCACTGACTGTGGAGGATTTCTTGTCCATGGAGCCATTCATTTTCCCAAATGCTGGTTTAGTATCACTCTCTTCCACCACTGTCTCAGATAATGCCCTCGTTGTCCACGGAGAGTCAAAACACTTAAGCAAAATAGACACAAAATGCTCCAGCTTGGAGCTGGTCCTTGGGAATTTGAACCAGAAGTTGCTACAAGCCAGGAAGATGAGTGTATGTAGCAGCACCAGATAAGGAAAATACTTGGCAAACCAGTGGAGACGGTTCTCGTAACACACTGCATCTACATAGTTATACTGGTGCCGGTCCAAGTCATATCGGATCCCCGTAGGCCCTGTATCAGTAGAGGGAACAAGACTAGAATTATAGTAGGTACGTTCTGGGGTTGCGGCTGTCCAACTTCTGACAGAGTCATTGCAAGAGTCTCTGGTAACCCATTTACAGGGCAAACAAATCATTTTGTCCTGGGTGACCTGAAGTGTCCCTCCAAACACTGCAATCATCAGCATCACTATGGAAATGTAGTCCGTGAAGACATCCCACCATGGCTTCAGGATGCGGTATGCTGGCTGAGTGTCAGCAAAATAGCGCAATTCAGTGACTGGAATCATGATTCACCTGAAAGGAAACCAGAAGCAGGCATTACTAGCTTGAACTATTTTGTTCTGCTTTTTGAGAGGGCATCAGGAAATTCATGTTAAAAACTGGCACAGCAAGACTGGAATTAGCTGAGACCAGATTTCAAGTCACTTGGAGACAAATGAATGATACTTCCTGTGAGTAATTTGCTGCAGCTGAGGCTGTGAAGTTAGTTTGTTGCTGTCTTCCCTGACAGATGAACTGTCACAAAACATCAACAACCAATACTTGCCATTAGAGGTCTGCAGGGCAAGACATTCCCACTTAAAGAAGGCTCACAGGACAGACTGAAAGCACCCTGGCACAACCAGTATTTGGTCGTTTACTGTTTTATCTAAGGATTTTGTTTCAGGGATGAAGGAGTTTGCCAGCACTGTTATAAGTGATAAAATCCACACACAGAGCATAGCTGTCATGACTTTGTTACTGGTTTTAGAGCTAGAAAATAATTCTGCATTTGTGTGGTTCTTAAACTGCAGGGGCAAGGAAGAATTACATACAATACTCTTATATTTTATAGAACTACTTCATTGATAAAGCAAGCTGGAAAAGAGAACAAAGTTGCCTGATATAATGACTTTTACTTCCATGGAAATAGTTTTGGCTTCCACCCCTTTGCATTAATTCTCAAAGGAAAGATTAGTTACTTGCCCTCTGATAAGATTCAGTACTGAAACCCTGTAACAGCTGCTTTGTGACTTATTTACTTCAGAAGTAGAGGAAGGGGGAAACATACTTAGAATTCACTTTCTTGACCAACCACTTCTACCTAGAGTTCATCTCAGCTGGGATTTAAGTGTCACAAAGGAAATTAAAAGGTTCTGGGAAGCAGAGGCCTTATGACAGTGCTTGTTCTGTCCTTCAGACTTCTAGACGAAACTTCGAGCACATTCTTCAACAAGCCATAGAAAGCCCGGAAGCCTGACTGATCCGGGGATAACTGAGCTCACAAAATTCCCCTTCTGACAGGCAACACAAGCAAAGAACATGAAGTCACTGTAACTTGTTCTAATGACAGTGAAAAAGCAGCAATACCACGTCATACTTGCTAGCAAAATTCAGGAGTAGGGCAAGCACTAATCTTTCAGTCATTTTGAAACTCACATGAATTCAATTGTAAATGAGGAAGAGCAAAAATTCAATCACGTTTCCCCAACCTGCAAGATATCATTTGTATGGACAGTCCCAACAAGTTCTGGGGGACCTGCAGGGTCAAGAGCAGGTTTCCATACAGCGCTGATTAGGAGAAAGCTTTCTTTGACAAGTGGGGTGCCCACGCCACCTGCTTTGATAGAATTCAAATTTGTATTTAAAATGAACTATCAGTACAGAACTGCAAAGGAAGCCCTTCTTAATATGAACTCAAAAGGCACCACATTCCCTAGAGACACTAAACACGGAACTCTATTCCCTGTTTTGCTGCTTACAACCATAAAAAGGTAAAATGCCAGCATTGATTTAGTGCTACATCGGAAGGTTATAAGCATCTAGAGTTGGTAGACTGAAAGATGACAGCCATCATCACAAGAGACAGACCTGAGGTAACTCCACATGCAAAATTATGGGGGGGGGGGGGGGGGGGGGGGGGGGGAAAGGGAATGGGGACTTTTGAGAGACAAAGCAGCAATACCTGTTCTAGAAGTTCAGTAAAACAAGGCAGAACAGCAAATCTATTAATTTATTGATAAGTAAACTCAAGCAATCCTGGCACAGGATGCAGAAACCAGGGATGAAAATAGCCATATACAGCACTGTCAGAAGAAAATACTGTCCTGTTAGGCTGCAGAGCACTGGCGAAGCGGCTGGCATTCCTCTGCAGAATGGACTGCATTGAGCAGATTAGGGCAAGAGGATTACACAGAGGGAGAGGGAAGAAGAGGCAAAACCGAATGTGTTCTGAACAGCTACTATAAGGAGTGACAAGGTGTTCAGAGCCCACTCCCAGTCCTGTTGCTAGCTTGCTGCAAGGCCCTAGGGAAGGCATTGCAGCCATGCCTCAGCTTCCTTCTCTGAATACACCCACTTCAGGGAGAAAAGAGCCCATCTGCAAGATACATTTGAGAAGAGCTGTCTCTGCATACTACAGAAATACTAATTCCAGGATGAAACAGGACAAAATTTTTCTTTACACCCCTTGCACTCCAGAACACTTCAAAGGAAGACAGCAGTTAAACTCCTCCCTGAATCACAGTTCCTGGTGATGTACATCTCCTCAGTTTGTCTATAGAGGCAAGAAAATTTAAAGCCAGAACTCATTTCTTACCTGTATTTTCTGCAGGAGAATCTCTAGGTCTGACAGAAGCCTTTAATTACTACCGACAAAAGCCTTATACTATATCCCAGGCTCCTTACTCATCCATTCCCTCGCTATTCAGAAGCATCAAAACAGGATATATACCTGATTTTTTAATTTGCTTTCTTGTTTTTTTTTTTTTTTTTTTTTTTTTTTTTTTTTTGTTAGGACCTCTATTACACCAGGCTTGGAAAGCTAGACAATGCATAGAGAAACCAGGAAATTCAACTGCTGAAAGATTTAAGAGCCAGGGCAGGACCACTGACATACTGCCGAACCACAAGGAAAAACAAACAAGACAAGAACACACATGTCCTCTCTGTCACCCTCTGCATCCCTCCCACCATAATCAGACTGAGGGAACAGAGCCCTGCACTTCTACAGTCTAAATAAGAGAAAGCCTGGAAAGCTTTACAAAAGGGGAACATCAAAAGCTACTGCAGTTATTTGCTGGAACATCTAACTTTGACATGGCTTAGCTTCTGAAATACAACTATGCTTGCAGGTGAGCACAGCTTCAGTTCTAGCAGACTCATAACCCAGGGGGGGTGGGGAAGGACTTTGAGAGCCAGAGGTCTCACTACACAACACCCTAAGGCTCCACAAGAGTCTAGCAGCAGTTTCCCAACAAGTATACGTCTTAAACACTCTTGCCAGATGCGATGGGAAGCTTTCATAGTGATTCCTTCTAAACTACATCTAAGAGGTAACACAAATGGTGCCATACCATTCATTACTCTCCATAAATGTTGTGTAAGACCTTATTCCTCTTTTCAAGCAGATGCAGTGAAAACACTGATATTGTTCATAAAATAATTACTCTCTATTTAAACAACTCCTTACTTCTACCCTACACAGAAGAAAAAAATAAATGCATGTTTATCCTTTCTTTCTCTTGACTAGATGCCACTTCTCCCCAGAGATTCTCCTCTCTCCAGCGCTTCATCATTCTTGGTTGGGAAACTTTCACAGGGATTGTCAGGCCCTTCATAGTTACCCCTAGTGGGCTTATTCTTTTCAGGAATTGGGGTCTTATGGCTAAGGCATTTTCAGACTTGAGTTGTAGTGCTGGGTTGCTAGTTTTGCCCAATCCAGGAAATGCCTAATTTCTTCTCACAAGAAATTAACCTTGTGCTCACTTAGATTTGTATCTCAGGATAGCTAGGAAGGAAACCAATGACGAATAAGCACAACAGGCTCCCTAATTCTATTTACCAGTTACATGGGGTAGGAAATCTCCCCTTACACAGTACACCTACAAGACAGCTAAAAAAAAAATCTGAATGTCCCATGATAGTCTATTCCAGCTCAGTGTGAGCAATTAAACACCGGTAGGGCGGAGCAGGAAATCGCCTGCCTTCCAGTAACAATGACAGGGTCACTGAAGGAAGAAAAGGACATTCATAGCAAGTCCCCTCTCCTCTGGCAGCAGTGGAGACCCTGTTCCAGCCCCTGAAGAACAATACAACTAAGAGCCACCTTTACAGAAGCTGGAATTTGCCATGATTTACCTAATCTTACCCCCAGAATCTGCAGCAAAAGGGAAAATTACCCACCAAAAACCTGAGAAAGTAGGTGGAAAAGTTGCATCCCTCTTCACCCAGATTTCCCATGCATGCAATCCATTTCTAGTTCCTGAAAGATGGTTCTGCATCAATGCAAATGTCATGTTTATTTTGTGGACTCCATTTTATAATGATTTTAGAATGCAGTTCTTTTTGCAACACTCTCCCTTCTGGATTAGAGAAAGCAGTTTTGTTGCTGGGGTTGATGACAACAGCAGACTAACTCCAAGAAATCAGATTTTCAGGGGCCATCTCGGTCACTTGACACTCCCCTGTGTGGTAGGATTCTTCCCACAGACCTTGTGATTCCAACCACTATGCAGAAACCAAGCAGGTAGGTGAAACACAGACTCTCCCAACAAGTACACAGGCAGCAGAACAGAATGCTTTATATGGAGGATGTTATCCTGGCATAAGACTAGGGACAACCCTTGCATGAAAACAGCTTGCTGAAAATAAAGTTACCTCTCTTATGACCAAGACCAGACCCAAGCTCCACAGAACCAGCAGACTGAAGAGATTTCAAGCTTCTGCTCTTTTCAAGAGTTGAATTCTGTGTGCTTTGTCAGCAGGAAAGTGTTTACTGGGAAGAACCTTAATTTCCTAAATCAGTTCTGTCATGTAACCTCACTGGAGGCTGAGCACAGAACACATGAACTGAGTGAAGGAGTTTAGAGACAGGAACAGTCATAACTGGAAAAGAAGTACTGTGTCAGAGCAGCCTTGTTGAACAATCTGAGCTCCTTCATATATACCTCAAATTGCAGAACTAGCCAGTTGGAGCTCAGAAACCAGCAATTTGCTTACAGTATAGTTAACTCTGCCACATGGAAGGCATCAATACAGATATTTTGAAAGAGTGCTTTTCTCAAGTTTAAAGGCAAGTTAATGTCACTTAACTTGCATAAGCTTAGAACATCTCTGCCTAAACTCCTGTCAACTTATCAGAAGCATAAGGAAGTAAGTTTTCCAAGAGTGTAATTAAATAGGCAGGCTTTAGCTATTGCACACTGAATAAAAAGAAATAATCTTACAAGTGTCTATCTTAGAGGTGTTTCAGCTTTTGCATTCCATAGTGCTTTCCTACCTATCACACAGTCCCTGAGCAGTCCCTCACCCAC